AAACCCCAAACCCCCAAAGCCCCCAAACTGCAATGCTCGGACTGGTATTGTGTGTGGGGTTTAGGGTTTAGGGTTTAGGGTTTAGGGCTGCGAGGCTTGGGTCGAACATCGGAAGCAGAGCGGAGAAGGGAGGAGCAGATGATAATGAGCATTTTACCGTGCCACACTATACGGTACTAGACTTTCTCACCATACCAGTACCATACTGTATTTTTATATGCGATACCATGCTATACCGTAGTATGGTGATTTAGTATGGTGTATTTCTATACCGGACTGTACTACTATGTTCTACCGTGCTATACCATACCTTGCTGTAGCCGCTCCTCCCCGGCTCTTTTGGTGGTCTCGGTGGGGAGGCCCTTCGGGTCTCGCGTGTGGCGTAGCCGGTGTCCGGTCTTGAGATCCTTAGTGTCGCGAAAATGGTACGTCGCAACTCCGTGGGAGTGGAAAGTGGAAAGTCGAACGTGGGTTCGGGGCTGAAGGTCATGACTTGCACGCTAGAGTTCGGATCTCTTCCGCTGCGTTTCTTTCAGAGTGGGGAGTGTTACATTACAGCCCTCTGTCTGGACTGTCTGGGTGCCAAGCTCCAATCATTAAGGTGAGATGAGTGCAGCCGGTGGCGCTCCTCGCACCTTCTGCGCCGCCCTTTGCTGGTGTGTTGAACCAAAGGTGGGAGGCATGCCCACCAGTGTGCCCACTCCGACCGCAAACGTTCAGGAATTGGTTCAAATAGAGATCATTGGCAGCTATCCAGCCTCAGCCCCAAAGGAAGGCTTCAACATTGATTGTTCATGAGGAAAGCCTGAGGGAGAAGCAACAGGGCCAGCTAAGACTTCGACTGGTCCATCAGCCAGGACGGGTGCAATGTTTTAGTTGTACAGAGCTTCATTCGGGTTCTGTTTCGGGGGGAGTAGAGTGTGAGGTTTATGAGGTCATGCTCTTAGACACGCTTCAACTCGCGAAGTGCACCAAGGCTCAAGGGATAAAAAAGGTAATGTAGGGGCCTATACTAGTTTTGGTGTTCTTTATCATAATCATAGTATAACATACCCCAAAACCCTATTCTAATCATGAACGCCCCTACAGTAGCACGAGTGTTTTTGATTTTTACTTGTGCGTCCTCCGCTGGCAGGAGGCATCAGCATCGATTTGCGAATATAAGGGCCTTAATTGTTAGAATAGGGCTTGGGGGTATATTATAATAAGGGACCCCCTAAACCCTATTCTAATTATTAAGGCCCCTACATTACACCTCTTCGGTCCCGGAGTGTCGGTGATGATGTCTGTGTCTGTGTCTTTCCTACGACCTGCACGTGCCCTTGGTATAACCCATCTATCCCACAAAATTTTTTACATGCATTACATCCTAGAACCCTTGTGAGGGACCGTATTCTGAGTATGATGTCTGTGTTCTTCCACCACCTGCAGAGGTCATCGGCGTCTGGTCATGTGTGCTCCGGGGCCCTTGCGGCAGGGAGCTCAAAACACGGTGCAGCCATGGTCCCGCGGTTGACACATGGGTGGAAATCATATGCATGGTATCACGTGATACAATATGGTTAAATAGTAAATGTAGCAGGATCTAGCATGATATAATATGATATAATCGGTTCCGATGTGGTATAATATGATCTAGTAAATCTAGTTCAGCCTATACCAAGGCTCTCATGGCCCGGATCAGTTGCGGCTCCCAGAGCAGAGGCGAGGTACATAGAAGGCTGAAGCCATGCATCCCAGGGTTTTTGTGGGCGGGTTTGGGGTGACTAAAGTCTCCGTTGAACAGGGACTGTAAGGGGATACTCCTAGCAGTCCTTCCGAGTCCCAGATTTCAAGTGTGAGCTCACTTGGCCTGCTTTGGATGCACAGTGCATAACTTACTTTCGGCTCTGAGTCAGCTCTGTCGCCCTCTCCTCCTTTTGCGCCGGAGGTTTAAAGACCCCCCCCAACTTTGTTCCTTCTGGGTTTAGGGTTTAGGGTTTAGGGTTTAGGGATCAGGGTCTTTAACTTTGTTCCTTCTGTCCCATGCCGAAGCTTTTCGTGGAGCGGGACTATGTGGATCAGGAGTTGGCGAAGCTGCGGCGCGAGATGAGCGACCTCAAGGCGGAGCTGTAGGATGTAGGTTTAGGGTTTAGGGTTTAGGGGTTAAGGTTTAGGGTTTAAGCTTTAGGGTTTAGGGTTTAGAGTTTAGGGTTTAGGGTTAAAGCATCCTACACCCACACGCATATATACTATCTTCCGTCAACCCAAGAACCTTCATCCCAAAGCACCCTGAGCCTTCAAACTCTCAATCCTAAACGTCTCAACCCTAGAACCCCAACAGCCCAAAACCCTGACCCTTCTACTGTCATCACTCATTCTTGCCTTTTGGTAGCTCGTTTTCCGGCTTTTTGCTCGCGAGGCAGAATGCCGCGACCCCTGCACTACACCCTCATAGTGACCCCATGTAGCAAGCCTAGCAGCCCAATACCCCTTAACTAAGGAATATACCGGAATTTCGCTTAAATCATAGTATTGAAGCCCCTTATAGTTCAAGCCGGGGAAGCCTGTAAGGATCTCTTTGAAAGGAGCCCCAAACCCTAAACCCTAAACCCCAAGTTCATCAGCTCCTTTCTTGGCAAGGCCCGGGCTCAAGGGAAGCCTTCCAAAGGATCCTCGTAAGAAAGCATGGGTTTGGGCTTTAGGGTTTAGGGTTTTAGGGTTCAGGGGTTTAGGGGTTTCGGGTGTAGGGTTTAGGGTTTAGGGTTTAGGGGTTTAGGGGTTTAGGTTGAGGGTGTAGGGTGTAGGGTTTAGGGTTTAGGGTTTTTCCTCCCAGCCCTCAACCCTCAACCCTAAACTCGAAGAAAGGAGCCCTTAAGCCGCCGCAGGCTGAGCTTCGCTCCAGGCTTGGCGAACAGCTTCTTGGCCTATACGGTTTAGGGTTTAGGGTTTAGGGTTTCGTGTTTGTCCGTTTTAGTGGTTGCCAAAAAGGTTTAGGGGTTTAGGGTTTAGGGTTTAGGGTTAGGGTAGGGTTTAGGGTTAGGGTTTAGGGGAGGGTTTAGGGTTTAGGGTGTAGGGTTTAGGGTTTAGGGTTTGCCTAACCCTAAGCATTTTGGGGTTTCCGCATGATAAGTATTGTATAATATATCCCAAAACCCTATTCGAATAGGGGTTTGCAGAAAGGGTTCCCTAAGACTGCCATTCGACGGCTCGAATACTTGGGATCCTATTTGAAGTTTTGCTGGCTCCTAAACCCTAACAAACTAAGCCCTGAAGGGGCGTATAGTTATAGGAAGAGTTCCTCAAAGGGCCTTTGACTTAGCCTTACAGGAACCCTTGAAAAGACCCTTAAAGGAATCCTTTGACGTGAGCCCCTTCCTTTAAAGCAATCCTTAAAGGGTTCCTCTTTTCAGGTTCGGCAACCAGAATCCGAATTGGAATGACCCGAAGTCTTCGAAGAGGCAGCTGGAGGAGCCTTCTGTCGGAATGTACTCCTGGGGCTTGAATAGCTAGGGTTTAGGGTTTAGGGTTTAGGTTTCACTGTTCCTTAGCGTAGACTGCAACTTACCCCGAAACCACAGTCTAACTACTCGCGCAAAGGCCATTGGTTTTTGGATGTATCCTTCACAACCCTGAACCCCAAATCCTCACCCTAGACCTCGAACCCCAAACCCTCAGCCCTCGCTGAACCCCAAATCCCCTCAGCCCTAAACGCAAAACCACGAACCCTAAGCATTTTGAGGGTTCTGTATTATGAGTATTGTATAATATATCCCAAAACCTTATTCTAACTACTAAGGCCCCTACATTACACCCCAAACCCCAAACCCCAGGCCGGGCCTGGGGTGCTGAGGGTTTAACAGAGCGCAGAGGAAGGCGTCAGGCAGGGACTTTGCAGCTGTGGCTTGCCTCCATGAACGGCTTCTGAATGGCCAGCTAGCAGCTTACGTAGATGAGGGGCCGGAGATCTAAACCCTTCACCCTAAACCCTAAACCCAAAACCCCAAACACACAACCCAACACCCAGCACCCAAAGCCCTCAACCCTACGCCCCCAGCCGACCCAACCCCTTGAACCCAAAACCCTTGAACCCAGACTAGGTAGGGTTTAGAGTAAGCCCCACACCCCCGACCAAGAAACTACCATCGGGGCCTTCGTAATTAGAATAGGGTTTTGGGGCGCATTATACTATAATTATAATAAGGAACCCCCCCCCGAGCTGGGGAGCTAGGATTTGGGGGCCCCTTGGAGATATAGACCCTCTCAACGAGGTCCCTTTTAAGAGAGCCACAAGTAGGGTTCAGAAGGGGTACCCTTTAAGGGGTACCCCTAAACCCTAAACCCTAAACCCTAAACCCTAAACCCTAAACCCTACGAGCCCTGAAGACCAGGAGGAGGTGGGCATCACCATCTCGGGCAGCGAGGAGAGCATCCCTGTGGAAGGCTCTTCAAAAGCCCTTGGGGAAGTTGAGGGTTTAGGGTTTAGGGTTTGAAAGTTGAGGGTTTAGGGTTTGGTGTTTGAAAGTTGAGGGTTCAGGGTTTGGGGTTCCTAAACCCTAAAGTTTAGGGTTTAGGGTTTAGGGTTTGAAAATTGAGGGTTTAGGGTTTGGGGTTCCTAAACCCTAAACCTTAAGCCCTTCAGGGTTAACCCTAAAGTTTAGGGTTTAGGGTTCAGGCTTCAGGACCCGGCCGTCGGATGTCCAAGAGCTAAATGCTTGGCTCTTGTTGGTTTCTTTAAGGGTTTAGGGTTTAGGGTGTAAGAGCTTCTTCTTACGGGTTCTCGTAAATGGTTCCCATGAAGCTTCCATAAGGCTTCTATCGCTGGGCTCTTGCTAAGGAACTTACTCTAAGTTACCAT